ATATTGGCGTTTAAAGTTCACGTATAGTTGATATAAAGGAAGGAAAAAAAGGAATCGAATAAAAATAGATAATGATATTTTGATGGTGTACATAATGATATTTTAATTAAATAGATAATGATATTTTAATATCTTCACATATCAGTTTTTGTACTGGCGTTTAAATTTCACGTATATTGGCGTTTAAAGTTCACGATAGTTGATATAAAGGAAGGAAAAAAAGATCGAATAAAAATAGATAATGATATTTTAATGGTGTAGATAATGATATTTTAATATCTTCACTTATCAGTTTTTGTATTGACGTTTAAACTTCACGTATATTCGGCGTTTAAAAAGAAAGGAAAAAAAAAGATCGAATAAAAATAGATAATGATACTTTAAAGTTATCTTCACGTATCAGTTTTTGTATTGACGCTTAAAATTCACGTATTATTTATACGTTATTTGATGGTACATTTGCAGTTAAAATTAACGTAAACTTGGGTAGTACTTGGACAGTAGTTATCTGCTAAAATACTATTCCATGGAATATTAAAAAAATGAACAAATTTTTGATAATAATAAAATTTAGTACAGAAATTCATATTTCCCACAATGTTTAAAGATTGCCGGATTGATTTTTCACTAATATATGGCTTATATTTAATACTGTAACTCAGCCTATATTTAATACTGTAACTCACATTTCCCGGAATATTTTGAGGTTATCACTAATATATGGCTTATATTTAATACTGTAACTCACATTTTCCGGAATATTTTGAGATTGTCACTAATATATGGCTTATATTTAACACTGTAACTCACATTTCCCGGGAATATTTTGAGATTGACAAGATTGTCACTAATATATGGCTTATTTTTAATACTGTAACTCACATTTCCCGGAATATTTTGAGATTGTTGGATTGATATTTATTAATTAATAATCTCTATTTAATACGAATTTAATACGAAAATTCATATTTCCCGGAATATTTAAAGGTTGATAAGCTTATATTCATTAATTTATAATTCATGCTTGATCGTATTCGGATGAAATTATTTTAATAAAGAAATTTTGCTCAGACATGAAATAATAAATTAAATTCAAAAAATAATTTAATATATTCTAATGAATGAACATAATTTAATAAACATGTTTAAATTATCAGTGTAATAATGAATGTAACCTAATTTTAATTAACTCAATAATTTATAACTAATTTGAAATACCTGAAAAATTCTCCATCTTCCTTATCTACCCTATTTCAACTAATTTTTCAATCATCTTTTTTATTGCTTCCAACCATTTCAAAATGCAAATGTTTAATTTCATTGAAACTATTTAAAATATCACTAAACTCAAATCGTATAGTATTATAAATTGTTCATTTAATTTAATCTTTCATTGGACTAATTTTAATATCATTACATTTAATTCGATTAATTTAAGTTTTCCTTTTTTCTCAATTCCGTTAATTTAAATTTCCTCCCAATTATATTAATTTAAGCTTTTCTTTTTTTTTTTAAACTCCATTAATTTAAACTTTCTCCTAATTCTATTAATTTAAGTTTTTCTCCTTTTTTTATTTCCATTAATTTAAATTCCTTCCTAATTCTATTAATTTATGTTTTTCCTTTTTTTTTAGTTCCATTAATTTAAATTCCTTCCTAGTTCTATTAAGTTTACTTCTTACTGTAATAAATTTAATACTTCATTTTATTTTTACTATCTAAAATTCATTTCTCACAAAAAAAAAATTCGTATATATCTGTCTATCTGTACATGTGTGTGTGTGTGTGTGTGTGTGTGTGTGTGTGTGTGTGTGCGTGTGTATGTGTATGTGTGTGTGTATATGTTTATATGTGTGCATATAAAACATATGCTGCAGTTCATTTGCATATTTTAGATTATTCATCGTCTACAAATGCAACGATTAACGGAGAAGGAAAAAGTGATCGAAGAATCGAAGAATGTCGAATTGGATTTAGTATCATTTATTCTTATTTCATGTTATCACTAAGGAAAATTATTGACCAATCGATTAATGGAAATTTAATGGAATGAAAATATTTAATAATTGAATGAGTAATTATTAATTTATTCATTTATTTTTTGTTAGTTCTTTTCCTTTTTTTTCTTTTTTTTATTT